TCCCCCCTAGACCACTAGATCTCCTGGGTCTCTCCACGGTCCTACCCAGCCTCCTGAGCCAGAATCCAATCATGTCACACATGGACCTTGAAGAAGCTTCCTTTCCATTCTCTTAAAATGGAAAGTACCATTTTAAGTACCCCGGGCTCACACAACCCGTTTCTCTCTGCCTTTCTTGTCTTACGTGCTTACCCCCGCTGCATCTTGTGGTGACAACTCTGATTCGAGGAGCTGATGTGGCTCCTGCTTTCTCAGGTAGACAGAGCAACACATGAACTTTCATTCCCAGATCAACCCCCACTTGAGGAAGGATTCCCGAAAGTGTAGTCCCTGGAGACCCATCCCTTGATGTGATCCTACGCCTATGGTATGCAGAATTCTCTCATCGTTACACACACACAAGTGCATTGCTCATGTTTTGGTGTTGTATTAGGATATATTAATTAATTACACATGAGTTTCATTGTGACATCTTTAAACATGCATATATTTTGATCACATGCCCCCGATTATTCTCCCTCGTGCCCTTCCCCTCTCCCTGATCTCCTTCCTCTTCCCAATTTAATCCTCTTCTATTTCCATGTCTCTTTCTTTTGGAATGACCCGATGATTCTCAGTAGTGTTTCTTATAAACTCACAGGCAAGGAGTCATTTGCAGGAGCTAGCACATGTTTACCATGGCTTGACTGTAAAATACATAAGTCTTTTCCCATCTACCAGCTATGGTGTATATTCTGAATTGGTGGGACCTCATGAGCTCCTTCCCTTTCCAGACCAGAATGTTGGCAGACTGTATAGATTTTGTGCAGATAATCACCACTGCTATGAGCTCAAGAGTGCAGCAGCCATACTATGCCTGAAAGTCGGCATTAGCAAAGACAACAGTTACTGGAGAAAGAGGAAGGGAACATCCTTACACCTCCCCTTCATATGGAAATAAGGGAAGAGATTGGAGGATGACGATTGCCAATGCTCTCATTTCCTGGGACCCTATGCAAATGAAACCCCTTTCCTAATATGGAACTCTTAATTTCAATCAACACACACACACAAAAAAAAAAAAAAAAAAAACACACACCTACTAAACCTTGGCAGTTGGTACACTGGTTGCCCTTTAATGATTACACTGACTGGAAGGAACCATGTAAAGTGGAAGTTCTGATGCTGGTTACCCATCTTTTAGAAGCGTGGAGTTGATCATATAAACTCACAGCTACTGTCAGGGTACAAATGCCGTCTAGACTCAGGGGTTGTAAATTTTTGGACAAGGCGCCCCAAGCTCTGAAGGCATATGAGTGCCAAAGAGTCGGTGGCATGGCTATTAAAGGATATACCCACGATTTGCACTGATTCCCTAAAATTAACCATTAAAATTATTTTTCACCTCTGCAATTCTCATAAATGGAACCAATCCTACAATGGTTTTTGGTTTCAGAATGATTATATTGCTTGTCTATGCACAACTGACAGTCATTTAATGGCTAATGGGTGTTTAATATTTTGCTACTGCTTGGGGTTTTTCCATTTTCTTGTGTTTTTATTTTTCCTTGATGATTTTTTCTTATATTTTGAGAAATACCTAATGTTTGTTTGGTTACTAAAGTTGTTGAGAAAGCTTCAATTTTTAATATATTTCTTTCATTTTATCTTACTTTTATTTTCTAAACTTTCTACAGAAAAATCCACATCTTACTCCCTTTTAAATTTTCAAAGTTCTCTGTTAAAAAGAACCCACATCAAATCAGAGAGAATCTCCCCCACAGCTCTTGCTTATTCTCAAGGCATCGTGTTTAGCATGTTGTTAGCACTGCTAAATAACCCACTTCATGAGCCCAGAAATCAAAACAACAACAACATTTTCTGAGCACTCAATGTCTTGTAAACGCAAAATGCTGTTGTTTGAATTTAGGGACACACACGATATGGTTGGTCTTCGTTTGAATGAACGCTTTATTTTCTAAGGCTTTCCAAACCGCCTTTTGTCTGACTTTAATTAGACCACTGTCCTGCCCTGTTTGGAGAACTGAACCACATTTCCAGAGCTTTCTGTGGTCCCCACCCAGCCACCTGCTCTTTCACAATTATAGAAGAAAAAAATGCTAATTAATAATAAAAGAGAACCTTTCCCGGGGAACTTATTTTCTCAGCTGTCCTATTGGTTCCGTGGAATTTTCTTTTTAAATGTCATGAAACTTAAAATCATTCCTGGTGGGGGATTCTTTCATGCAGCTTGCAAAAATAATCAGGTTTTACAGCAAAACAACCATGGCAGGTCCATCTGGCAGGTCTGAGGTTCTGCGGGATCCGCTGGCCAAAGCGCTTCCCAGTTGCTCTCGTTGCTCTAACTTCGCTCCACAAATACAAACAGCATTTCAAAGGCACGCTGAGAGCCCGGTGTAAAAATATGTTTTATTTTGTAACTTAGGCAGCAGCAGACCCTTCCTTACAGAGACAGCCTGCACAGATTGGGTGCCAAGTGGGAGAGTGTGAAAATGAAACCTTAAGAAACCGTCAAAAAGTTGGAATTCTGTAACCATGTGAGCTTTCCAAGGGACATAAAATAGCTCATGGCTCAGAAATTTAGACACTCGGAATCATTTCTTTTTCAAACATTTGAAATTAACCGTAAGAATCTAAGACCTGACACCCATTTTACTATTGATTAACTAATTGTTTTAATTACAAAAAAAAACAAAACAAAACATTGTACAACTGCCCAAGAGAATGCTCAAGTAGGAAGTGTACAGAGAAGCCTGTGAAAGTCCCCCCCCATCCACAACATTAAGTTTCACGTGTGTTCTTACACATGTTTACTGTAACAACTCATTGGGACCTAAGTTGATGTGTCAGGGTGACAGACTTGCGCATGTATGTTATGTAATTCCTCATACGGTTACAAAAGTAAATCCGTGTTTTCACGATAAGTTCCTCTCCCTCAGAATTAGAACACGGCTTTCACACGACACTTTGCCTCTGTGTTTTCTTAAGCTTTAAAACAATCACTTATCCCTTTCACATAAGTGATGTGGGCCCTACAGCCCAGGCTAGGAAGAGTGAAGACATACCACACAAAGAGAGGCTTTGTCAACATAAGGCACACGTTTCTAAGGATGCTTCACTACCTCTTCCTGAATTAGACATTAACACTGACCTTAAAATTGGACCTACACAATTTGCCATTAAATTAAATCATGGAAGAATATACAGGCTTTTGATCTTGTAAATAGGGGCATCCTAGCCCCACTGTACGTTATGGGAAGGTAATGGTGGTGAAGCAAAAAGAAAGGGAGCTCTGGGTTTGTACAGTGTCCAGGAGAGATGGCCGGGCTGGCTCTCAGCAATACAGCCATGAACCAGCCTTCCTGGTAAATCCTCTCAAAGGATGCCAAACAGAAAGACAAAGACAGAAGTGTCACGTGCCAATCTCCTGACTCTCTGCCCAACCCTCATCATCAGGACCCTACTGGACTCTAACAGCTGGACACTCACTCTACCAACAAGTCCAGACCCATGGCTTCTGCATCAGCTTCCGTGTTCCAGAATAGCTCTTCCATCGCGTGTGTACCTCTGAGACCGAGCAGTCATTGCCCAGTGGTGGACAAAGTTCAAGCCCTTAGCGCGGCTCAAAGGCCCTTTGTAACCATGTTCCTGTGTCTTCCCCCGACTTTTCGTCACCATTCCTGTCTTCACACTTCCTGCTCGTGTTCCCACACCTCGGACACTCTGCTGTAAACATCCCAAGCCATGGCTTTCCCCACAGTGACACATGTTTCTCCAATCTGCTGAGTGATTTCATCTTTTTAGACTAGATTCGGGGAGGGGGGGGCATCTATTCTATGACATTCAATCCATCCTCTCAGGACAGCCAATCACTCCAACTCTTCTCTTTGCCCTTGCTTCACTACCTACACCACATTGTGGTCAAACAGATTTAAAACAGAACCCAGGCTGTATCACGTGGCCGTGGACAGGTCAAGCTATAGACTAGGGCATGTCTACAACGTCTTCCGAAGATTCATGGTGAACAGCCGGTGAGAACACTTAGCACACTGAAGAGAACACAAACACATTGACATAAGTGACACACACATTTGTCCCTAAAAATGAGTGACACACACATAATGCCCAATGGCGGGCCTGGCAAGAAGCAGCTCCAGGAAGTGCTGGTTCCCTCAGCCTCAACTGTTACTCTAAATACTGCTCTAATCACCCTCCCATTTTGTGTAACTATTGTCGTTAGGAGTCTGTACGTTGACTACAAAATCCATGTCTCCTTTGTGTTTCTGGAAATCACTACAGTCCTGGAGCACAGGGGGCACTTGATACATTTTTCTGTGAGCATCAGAATGAAACATCTGCCGGCCCTGAACAGGCTGCTCTCTGCTCCTTACAGAGAAGCCAAGCTTCTCCCCATCAATGCTCCGCTCATGGGATTCCTTGCACCCGGGAGCTTCCCAGCCCCCTTGGGCTTCAAATTCAAATCCTCCACACTTTCACTAATCTGATTCCTAATCTCCCACTTATAGAAAGCCAGAACAGCCATTGGATCTCATGAGCTACTTTTCCTAGACGTGTATCTGCTACCAACTGCTGCCTAAGAAACTGGCCTTGGTAGTTTAAAACAACTGTTGTTTCTAACACTTTTGAGTGTCATCCGGATCCTCATTTGTTGTCTCTCAGGGCTCCTCATGCAGTTGCATTTAGCTGGAATGTCAGGGGAAGTGCATGGCTAGAAGCATTCTCCTTTGCCTGGCTGGTAGTTGGTGCTGCTGGCTGTTGGCAGGGCCACCTCATTTTCACTTCACAGGGTCTCCTGCCCACGTGGCTAGACTCCCTTCCTGAGGAAGGCAAAGAGTAGTGACTGAAGCAACCTGCAAATCCCCTTGAGGCCTAAGATCTGAAACTTACCTGTCCCTTTGGCTATGTTTTATCAGTCAATTCAAACCACAACCTGCTACCCTAAATTCAGACCGGTGACTCTACTTCCCGATGGGAGGGGCTTTCAAGAAAAGGTAGCGATATTTTATTTTCACAGGTGGCTCGTTAAGCGGCTCCTAATCTGAGCAGCTGATTCTTTTCTTCCGGCACCTGCGAAGCCCTGTGGTGTTTTCCACGCCAGGGGTGGCCGATGAACATCATGATTCTGCTGAGGAACTAGCACACAGAACTTGCTACGGTAGCGGAGTGTGAAGCCATCGGCACACTGTAGGCGCTCACACCTGGAATTTCTAGTCATCGCGCAGTGCTTGTCCTGTTTGTGAGTAATGGTACGACTCAGATACGTGGTCCGTAAGGGAAATGTGTTTCAAATTCTGCAAAAAAAGAAGTCAGATTCCTTAGAAGATGTTTGAGGTAGTGTAGGCACCATATGAGATAGGACATGGATCGGATTTCCCTGGGCTCGGCAACATATTTATCACATTAGTGCACCCAATTCTCTATGCCCATCTTTATTTCCCGGCAGGAGAAAGTGTGCCAGCCTAACAGGGGTAACCACTTGAGGGTCATGTGTGTGGACGTCAGCATAACTTTATGTTCATTACAAAGAGTGAAATCATGTGACCTGAAATGAATCTAAATTCAGATGTAAAAATGTGGTGCTAGGTGGACCTGCCTCCCTAGCATGGGTATGATGATAGCGAGAAGCTCAGCGTGTGAAGTGTTGCAAATCCCTTGGAGACACTACCTTCTCACCAAGGGCTATCACCATCGCTTTTGAAGAATCAATATCAATATCTTTAAGGTTAAGAAGATGCTTTACAAACTCTGTAATTATTTTTTAAATGGATTTAACAGTGCAAGAGAAACATTATGCCAATGTTTTAAATGGCACCTAAAATATTATAGGGTCATAAAAATGGCAATAAATGTACTCGAAGGAAACTTCTAATCTTATCACTTTACTACCTTGGTGACCTATTAGTTCAAATTAACTCATTTTCATGGAGGGGCTTTTGGGGCAGCTGCGAGACTGCTCTGCTAGCTACAGGAAGTTGCAGATCGGCAAATTTCATTCAAATATAAACCTCTAAATTTGGCTACCTGGTATTGCAGGATCCTGTTGTTTGCAGTATGCAAAATAAAAATTATATACCATCTTGCATGGTCACAAGCTAGGTACTCCGGAACATGGAGTCCAGTGTTAGCGGTAGGATGGGAAGGAACTGAGTGAATACCATGTATTGAGCGAAGAATAAAGGGAGTGAGCTGCCACTTCACCTGGGGAAGGAAGCTGTCTGCCCGAGGCTGTTCTCTCCTAACCTATGAAACCTGAGAATGCGATGGAGAAGTAAGCCCTAATCCCTGAATCTGTCCAGTGAAGTCCTCCCCAGTCATACAAGGCTCTTTCTTCTTTGTTCTGTGAGATGAACTGGAGAGAGGAGTGTTAACAGTGGTTTTAATGTGGTTCATTTGGCTAGTTCCTGGCCACCGAGGGGGACACACACCAATTATAACTACAGAATAACTAATTCAATAAAAGTGCTCGGTAACAAGATTCTGGTCCTGGGTTGTAAGGGCTCATCAGAATTTGTCAAAACATATCAAATTGTATATTTAAGATCAATGAACATTAGTACATGTAAATAATGCCTGATTAAATCTGGCCCCCATCAAAGTGAAATGTCACAGGAAAAAATTAAGAAAAAATATATATATCCTGTGTGTAGGTGTATATATTTACACAGGTATACATACCTACATACACACACACATGCACACGCATCTCAGAAGTATCCAATTCCATCTGACAGTACTGTGAGCTTGAAAATTGTATAATTTCTCTGAATGATCCTACCTCTCCTTTAAGCTAAATTTCTCTAAAATAGTGATACATTTCTACTTATTTTCAAATTACTAAAATTCTTGGAAGGCAGCCTAGTATGGTGGTGAAGAAGTGGGCTCTGAAATCAGAGTTCCTAGCTGAATCCACCCTCTGCCACCACAACACCCTGCCCTAGAAAGAAACTTGTGTGTTCCTTCAGTGATTCAGTCTCATAGTCAATAAAATGAGAGTTCTGATACTTACCTTTGAAGACAAAAATCTCTAAGTGAGCATTAAAATAGAATTCATCAAAACGAAAATGTAAACTATTTACTAAAAACAACTCGATATGGATCTGGGGAGATGACTCAGTCCGTAAAGTGTTTGTCACACAAGCGTGAGAACCTGAGTCCAGATGCTCAGCATCCCCCAAAGCAAAACAAAACAAAAGCCCAGACACCACAACTCATGTAGATAGCTAATTCCAGGGGTGGAGAGGGCATAGACAGGAGGATCCCAGGAGTTAGCTGCACGGACTCTTTAGCCAAATCAGTGAGCTCCAGGTTCAATGAGAGATCTTGTTTCAAAAACTAAGGTGGAGGGTAATTGCAGAAGATCCCCGACCTCAACCTAGGGCCTCCACTCACACATGTGTGCACACTCACAGATGTGTGCATGCATGCCAGCACACTCAGGCACATAAGTAGATATTTTTTAACTTAATGTATGAGTTAAGCAGCAAACTACAATAATTAGTGAACCAAAGAGATCTGAGGAAATTTATACCAGTCTCTAACAAATGTGAAGAAACACAAAATCATGGATAGAGGGTAAACAAGAGGAGGTTGGAGAACATAGAATATAAGAGTAAAAAGGAGTCAAAATAAATCTAAATAGTCTCAGGGGTTGTAATAGGGATAGAGTAATAGTTAGTGAGATAATGGTTTAAAACATTCCTAACCTGATGAAAGACTCAAAATCCCAGACATGCAAAGACACAAAGCACATCCTGCCCCAGCAGAGTAAAGAGGAGTGGGAGCTCCTTCCAGACAAGATAAGCTGAGCTTGCAGAACCTAAACGGTGTGTGTGGGGAGAGGGGTCTATTTTAAAAACATGACGAAAAGAAAACTTGTCACACAGAAACACTTTAAGAATAATAGCAGACTTCCTAACTGAAATTATGGAAATCAAAGGCAGTGGTCTTATGCTTTCAAAGCACCAAGACACTAAATACTAAAATATTCTAATTGTAAAATTAGAATTACCTTCTAAGTACAAGGTCAAAAGCAATGGTACCTTTAGATCAATAAAATCTGAAAGAGTTTACTGAACAAAAGCACATTACTGGGATTTTCTAAAGAATTGCTTTGGGAAGATGAAACAAATACAGAAAGTGCGTAGGAGCACAGACCAGAGAAAAGGGTAAACACAGAACGAAATACAGTAGAAAATTGCTTAATGTAACAGCGATGTCTAATTGTGGTTGCTTGATTTAAGAATAAAATAGGCCAAGGTTTAAGAAAATGCCATAGCGAAATGGCAGTGAGAGTTAACATCCTTGGGCTCTAGTCTTTCAAAAGAAGTTTTAAGATACTGTTTGTAGGCCTTGTTAAATCTGCATGGTAAAGTTTTATGAGTGACCATAAAGAACGGAAATAGTGACAATCCCCACAGTGGGCACAAGGTGAAATTATATAGAGGTCAAAAACCAAGCCATGGCCTCAGATTCCCAGGCCCTGGGACTGTGGGATAACGTGTTGATTCAGCAGTCTGCAGTCTACCTTGTAGCAGACAGAGTGACTAAGAAGACGGCTGGTAGGGGCGCTCTTGAGAAAACCGCTCAGTCAGTAAAGTGCTTACCACCCAAACATGAGGACCTGAGTTTCATACCGGGCACCTACACACAAAGCTGGGCATGACAGCACAAGCATGTAACCCCAGATCCATGAAAACAAAAACAGGAAGATTCCTGGGGCTTGCTGGCCAGCTGGACTCAGTCGCCGATCCCCAAGGATTCCAATGAGACCTTGGCATTGGATCCTCAGAAAGCAAGGTGGATGAGATTGGCCTCCTTTGGTCCTTAAACAGACACACATGTGCCCCACACATACACAGGCACGCACACATGCACACACGAGCACACACGAAAATAAGAGTTCAAAAATGATGGATTATCTTAAAACATTTTTAAAAGCACTACATGGAATAAGAGCTAGACATATTCTATCTGAATAAAAGAGATGATTAGAAAAGAGAGGAGACTTTTGCAGTCAAGTTTGTGGAATCAGATCTCTAGGAGAAAAAAAAAATGAGAGTGGAGAAGCAAGCAAGGCACCGAGTTCTCCGTCATCAGAGATTGGATTCATGGCGTTAGAAACATGCAGGCTAGTTGAGTGAGATTCTGTGAAACCTCTCCAGCTCTTAGGAGTGTCGAGACCTTGAAGGCATAGGCTGGGAGCTCAAGCCTGAGGGCTGAGTGCTAAGAATGCTTAACCTCCTCGGAAGGTATTTTCACCTCCTTCTTTATTCGGGGCCATTTAGCAGTTAGCATTTGCTTTTGTAATATTCTGTAGTGGTATTTCATTTGTATTTTAATAAATAAAGCTAGCCTAAAGATCAGAGAGTAAAACAGCCACCCTGGTCAGTCTTACAGACAGGCAGAGGTCATACACACCTTTAATCTCAGTAGCCACACTTGTTTGCCATAGAAACAGGGTGGTAGTGGTGCACGCCTTTAATCCCACACTAGAGAGGAATATAGGATGGGAGGGGACAGCTCTCAGCTCAGTCTCAATCTGAGGATTCCTGGAGGCAGGATCGCCATTTCGGACTGAGGTTGAGGTAAGAGTCAGTAACTGGCTATTTTGCTTTTCTGGCCTTCAGGTTGAACCCCAATTTCTGTCTCTGGGTTTTTATTAATTGTGCTGCAGTATTCACTTCTTTTGCACTTTATCTGTGATTGTATGTATGTTATTGTATGCATGGATGGTGTGTACACATGTGTACATGTGCATGTAGAGACCTCAGGTCACTGTTGAATGGCTTTTCTCCATTGCTCTTCCCCTAAAGACTGGCTGGCCAGCAAGCCTCAGGGAGGCAATGGTTTGCAACGCTCCCTAACGCAGGGTTACAAGCACATACTGCCTGCCTAGCTTTTTACATGACTCCTGAAAATCCAAACTCTGATCCTGGCCCTTACACAGCAGATACTGAACTGACTTCCCAGCCCCATTTCTAATGGTATAAGACACTGCAAACCTATTGACCCTTCATGCGGACACCAGGACAACAGCCCTCCTCTGGAATGTGTTCCCACTCATCCCTAATATCCACACCACTTATCCTCCCCAGTCATGCATCACCAGTCCCAGGTTACCACAAAGGAGAAAGTGGAAAACAATTGAAATACACTGTCTCCCGGTTCTGGGGATGTCAGCCGGCCCTAGACCCCAGCAACTGCAGGGGAAAAAGAAAATCCCTTCACTTCCTCCTAGCTTCTACCAACCAACCTTAATCCCTAATCTTGAGGTTAAATCATTCACATCTTTCTTATCTCCATATGACCCTCACCATGTCTGTATCATTGAGTGTTCTAATCTTTTTTAAAAAAAAAATTGTTTAAAATTTTGTTTTTATGTGTATGGTTATTTTTTCCTGTGAGAAGTATCCACAGAGGCCCAAAGGAGAACACCAGATGTTTTGGGACTAGAGTTTCAGATGGTTGGGAGTCACCATGTGAGTGCTGGGAATTGACCCTGAGTCCTCTGAAAGGAGAGCCAAGGCTCCTACCCACCAAGTCATCTGTCCAGCTCCCCTTCTCTTCTGATAAGGACATCAGTCATATGGGATGGGGACCCATCCTAGTTCAACATGACATCTTAATTTAAGTAATTATACCTTCAAAGATCCTATTTCTAAATAAGGTTCAGTTACAGTTACTAGGAATTAAGGTAAGACTTCAATGTTGATGCTCGGCCGATCATAGGACTCACCTCCAAGCCTGATGAAGTAAATTCCATACCCAGAAGGTGGAAGGACATAACTGACTCCTCAAGGTGTTCTCTGACCACCACAAGGTGCACGATCCCACAGGATACACACATGTACATATACACACATACAAATACACATATGCATACACATATACACACACATACACATGCACACACATAAACATCCATACACATGCACATATACACATGCATTCACATATACACACATATACATATGCATGCATACATACACACATAAGCACACAGACACACATTTACACACACATAACATGCACACACATACATATATATGTACGCACATACACGCACACATATGTATGCACATATAAACACACACATACACACATAGACACATGCACACACATACACACACATAAATACGTATACACACAAAAACACATACATACACACACACACATACAGATAATAAAATGTAAAGACATGAAATCTTTCAACAGAACAGTATTCTGCCTACCACTTCCTTACCCTTCCACAATCACTGCTCTGTGTGTCTTTAAGAACTGCATTTCAGCCAGGCATGGTGGCGCACGCCTTTAATCCCAGCACTAGAGAGGCAGAGGCAGGGGCATCTCTGTGAGTTCCAGGACAGGCAGAGCTGTTACACAGAGAAATCCTGTCTCGAACTGCATCTTCTCTCCACAAATGTCTATTATGTCTTTTATGAACCGTGCTCTACTTTGAGCAAGAAAGAAAAATCACACTCAGGATTCCTGCTCTCCGTGGATTATTTACTTTGCATAAAGACCCACAATAAAATGTAGCCATTCAGGGTTGAAGTCAACTGCCAGTCGCATATAGGAATGCAAACACACTAATATATATGTGCATATAAAACACTGTCTAAGATGTGATACTGTGAATGAGTATTGACACAAATAGTAAAACACAGGATAAATCATTCTGTTTCATCTAGCTAATGCTTCTTGGTATATCTATCAGAACCTAAAAATTTGGTTTCTCTCTGTCCCATGCAAAACTTTTTACTATTCCATATAATAAACTTATATTCTACTCTAAATTGTCCCCCTCCAAATCTTCAAGTAACATTTCTAAGCATCAAAACCTAAGAGTTTAGAGAGTGAAGAGGTAACCCCGTTCATAAATGATTGCCATACAAGCTGGGGACCTCAGTTAAAGCCCCAGGACTCATGCAAAAAGCCAGGCATAGTAAATGCTTACACTTTCGTGCTGAGGAGGTGGAGTGCTGAGGAGGTGGAGACAGGGGGATTCCTGGAACTCACCGGCCATTCAATCTAGCCTAATCCACAAGCCCAGATCCTGGTGAGAGATCTTACCTCAAAAAAAAAAAAAAATCAAAAAGGCACCTGGAGAGATGGCTCAGAGGTAAAGAACACTGGCTGCTCTTCCAGAGGTCCTGAGTTCAATTCCCAGCAACCACATGGTGGCTCACAACCATCTGTAATAAGACCTGGTGCCCTCTTCTGTACTGTAGGATACATGCAGACAGAACCCTGTATACATAATAAATAAAAATCTTTAAAAAAATTATAAAAAACAAAAAACATGCTAACCAGCTGGTCATCCTGAAGACAACACCCCGGGTTAACCTGGGTACCTCTGGCCTCCACGCACATGTGAACACATGTGCACTTGCACACGTGCATAAACACACATGTCCACAGACAGAACAAAAAGGGGGGAAGGAAGAAAGGATGGTTTGGAGAATATATTCCTAATTTTAAAATTAAATTCAAGCTGTAACTAAGGTTGACAACACCTGCGTTCTGTTTGTCTTCCAGGGCAGTGTCAGCTCCTCCCAGCCTCCATTCGTCCAGATGCCAGGTGAGACCTTCCTTTAATTCAACAAGCAATTTACTGGCTTTTAAGCAGTAACCGAGCATTTGTGTTTTGTTTTCCACCAAGCCCAGAGCTACGCACATTTTATGCAGCTACTGTATCATCAAAGTTCCATCCCCAGCCAAGAGCCGCCGAGGTTCTGATAACCGCCTCATTTTCTCATTTTTGCATCTTAAAAAAAAAAATCAATGACGATAAATCTCACCGAATCATCCTGAGCTAAGTCCTTCAGGTCTTGAGAAGCAGGCAGTTTTTAAAACCCTGCCTGGCAGAAGCTTTTAGGCAAAAGCAATAGTAACCAGGCTCCGGGTACAGTGTTAAAACATCTAAAGCTCTGACACCATGCTCTGATAGATGAAGTGCACGCCGTAGACAGAGGGAGAAAAGAACATTAGGGGCGAGGGTTACCTTTATCAAGTACTTTCCATGGTGCATCACGCACAGCATTCAAGATATTGTATTCATTTCAGTTTCATGGGCCTCAATTCCACCATCCTGGGAAGATAGAAAAGGAATATTCTTGATGGTAATAAAAGTGATAAACACCTTTACACTCACCACTCACAAGCCACACACACGCACGCACGCACACTATTCCTCCAGATCTCAAACTCCAGAGAGATTTAGCACTTTCCAAGTTGCATAAGGCGGGGAGTTTAAAGCCTCCCGTGACTCTTGTATTTTCCCATTGTGTTTACTTCTATTTGAATTTGCTTGCCTCTGCTCTTTTGTACTAGAGGGAGTATCTGCCAATTCTCCTACCTTCTAGAATGCTTCTCCTCTTTCTTTTTTTAAGGAGAAATGGGTACACTGAGTAAAGCAGAGGCTTTTTCTTCACAATTGTTTTTATTTTGAAATTAGAAATATAACTCTGTCATCCTGGAAGTCCTGCTTACCTTCTCACTCCGTTCTCTGCCTGCGCCAGTTCTTGGGATGTCTTCATGACATGAATTTTCATTTGCACAGATTTCTGTTCCCGAAAGTGTGTTGATAATTAAAACTGTCGCCACATAGTTCAAATGTACGAGCAGATTGGATATTGGTGAATTAAGAATGAAAGCAGTGGGGCTGGAGAGATGGCTCAGCGGTTAAGAGCATTGCCTGCTCTTCCAAAGGTCCTGAGTTCAATTTCCAGCGACCACATGGTGGCTCACAACCATCGTAATGAGGCCTGGTGCCCTCTTCTGGCCTGCACGTGTATACACAGACAGAATATTGTATACATAATAAATAAATAAATATTAAAAAAAAGAATGAAAGCAGTGTAGTGAGTCAAAACATGCTAAAGGGTTTGCTGGGGAGCTCGTTTGTCCTCTGAGTGAATACATTTGCATGGAGTGTTGGATGCAGCATTCCACACCTGGGTCTACAGACCAGACACTGCATGAGACCTGCTCCACCACCACGGGACTTTTAGACCCAGTAGCAGTGACAGCGTAAAGAGCAAAATCTAAGACGCCACGTTGGCTGGAAGGGGCTAAGGCTCTCACTGTGACAAGTCACCAAGGGAAAGACCCCAGTGAACTTCTTCTCTCTAAAGAATAGGCAGGGACGGGGACAAAGCTCAGTTGTAGCCTCCCATTGTTGAGGGAAGGGATGAGGGACAGAGATGGCATCTCCTCCACATCTCAGCCCCTTTGCTGTGTTGGTCTTGATGAATGAGATTCCACCCTCTACTATATGGAATATACAAGCGATAAATTACACAGACCTGGAGTCCGTGTCCCACACAGATTCTCGAAAAGTGTTGAGTGTCTCTCCTCTCTCCTGAAACCAATTCACTGGTCTTTCTTAAAGAAGGCTCTTGCCAGTTTCCATTTTCCCTTCTGTTCCTCCTAAAACCCTCTTCAAGCTCTGTCTCCATAATGTCCAGACGAAGTGAATGAGGGATCCAGTGTGACCACAAGGGGGCAGCAAATAACACTAGACGCGTCAAAGCCAGATCTGTGTGGTGGGGTGGGTATTGTTTTTGTCTCAAAAATGGACTTTTCTACAACTATACTGCCCCATGGCGAGTCATCACTTCATGCCGGCCGGGCGTGAGACAGGTGGTGAAGAGCAGTGTGCAGAAGAATCAGAAGACAGCACACCTGCCCTTGGCGTGAGGTGGGCTGTGTGTTATCTTATCTAGAGAGAGATTACCTCCTGTAAGAAGCCCAGAAGCAGCCACTTGGAAACTGTCCTGTACGTTAAGGGATGTCATCCAGAGGCTGTGATAAGATCTTTATAGTTCATTGGAAGGCATAGGTTCCAAATGGCCCAGTGTCATTCTGTTGCTGCAACAAATGCCAGGACCTAAAGCAACTTTTAGGATGAAAAGACCCTTTCCAGCTTTCAGATTCCTGTCTGTCACTGAGGGAAGACAGGGTAGGACCTAACTCTGCAAGCAGGAACTAACTCGGGCAGGAGCTTGAAGCAGAAACCCCAAGGAAATTTTGGTTGCTGGCTTATACTTAGTTAACTTTCTTCGACGGCCCAGGCCCGCCGGCCCAGGGAATGGTGCCTCCTGCAGTGGGCACCCCCACATCAATTAATAATCAAAGCAATCCCTCACACACATGCCCACAGACCAACCTGATAAAGACACTTATTCGAGACTCTCTAGGCTATGTCAAGGTGACAGTCAGTGTTGACTAGGATACCAAGGGGCTCTTTAATTTACCTCTCTATGCCCCTTCTAGAAGCATCTGGACCTGGAAGATACTTGACACATCATTATCTGGGTAAAGTTATTGTACGTCTAACATGAATTCATCCCTAAATCCAGAGTGAACTTTAAGCGTATCTGTTCTTTGGGATGAAACAGTGATGCAGGACTATTGTACACCACTCAAGACATGTATATTTCTTTGTTAATGACGTCGGGCACACGTGGGTACCATCTTTTCACAGGAAACGGATGAAGGAGTCACAGTGCTCTGAGCTTCCTGCATGAAACTTTTGCTCACTTCTATTTCCCTTGGCCACAGGATCGCCAGTCATGTCAGGTTACTACGGTGTCAGGAGATCTTTCCTGTCTGACTCCGACTTCCATGGCGGCAAGCAGTTCTCAAACGACCTCTATCCCTCCGGCGTGACTAAGCCCTTTGCCTGTGAGTCCTCAGCAGGACAGAGTCACCCAGGCCTGCTGGAGTCCTACCTGGCTGAGCCCTACGGAGACTACCGCCCACCGGCGCTGACCTCCGCACCGGGGTCCCTGTTCAGCACCTCAACTCTGCCACCGCTCCTGCCACCTCCGTTCCCCAGCGATCCAACTCACTTCGTGTTTGTGAGTACGGTTATTTCAATGTGCAGGGAGGAAGGGGAGGCCCCAGCTCCGGCAGCCCAGCCCTTGTACGTGGTAACCAAGCTGAAGCCACCTGGGAATTCCTGAGGTTGCTCTGCTCAGACCTGGAGGTGCCCAGTCAGGGTGGATCAGCTGGGACACTTCTGAGGGATTCAGGCCTACACAAAGATTACATTAACCAAGGCATCGAAATTGTCTAGCTAGGGTTTCAAACCAGGGACCCTGTAAAATAAATTCAGACTCATCTTGTTACTGTCCTGTTTGCTGAATGCTCCACACCCTGTTAGTGTAAGAGTTCTTCAGGCCCGTGGACCCTAAGAAGCAACTGCTGAAGTCACACTAGGCAAACTCCCCAAAGAGATGCACCCAGACTCATCTTCTGCTCCCTTACCATTCCCTCTGCTCCAGCTTCCTCCGGGAGCCTACACACACACACACACACACACACACACACACACACACACACACACACCGTGTTCTCTCTTGATCCCTCCAAAGAAATAACTTCAGAAAGATCTAAAAAAGCTGCTAATGCTCCTTTTATAGAAAACTGTAAAGCCTCTTGGCACAAAGGAATGAATCGCTGAAGGTGGAATTTTAGACAATGAGGGTGGGTCAGGGAATTAGCCTTATTTTGTGACAAGAACTTTCATGGGCCTTTGTTCATTTACTATTTGCAGCAGCCCAATTTTGTGCCCCATTTCACAGACAAAGGGCTCAGAGGGTGGTAGGTGATATGGCGAATGAACTCAGTCCATCCCAAAGAAAGTACTGTTGAGGAGGTAGGGAGCCCCCACCCCACATCGTTCTAAAGACTACATCATTGGAGGACTACTCTAAACCAGAACCAGGTACTGCCTTTCCCTGCTTATGTAAAGAGAAACGCAGGACCCAGAGAAACATCCCTGAGTAGAAATTAACCCAGATTCCCCTGACTTGAGTCAAACACCAGAGGGTAAAGTTGCCTGGAGGGTTGACTTCACTGGCAGGGAGAGGGTTTGAAGGCTTCTCTGGATGCCTTGGTCCAGCAGGCAGCGCTATATCCTCAGAGCATCACTAAAAACTAATTTCCATGCCTTTGCCATCCTCCTCAGAGAGACTCCTGGGAACAGACGGTGCCGGATGGGCTCAGCCAACCAGACCCTGTGCCTGCTGAGGTCCTGCAGACCCTGCCACCTAGCACCAGCTGCCTCTCCCAGCTGGAGTCAGGAAGCAGCAACCAACACAGGAGCATGGGATGGGGATCGTCCCTTGCTGGGGCTCAGTCCTACTCGCTGCATTCACTGGAAGATCTGCACCACACGCCAGGGTACCCCACCCCGTCTTCATACCCCTTCACTTCCTTCATGACGGTGTCAAATGACCTCCCATCCAAGGGGGTCCCCCTCTCCCCAGAGGAGGGGTCAGACACCTCTTCCCTTCATGATCCTTCACCTTGGACAAAAGAAGACGGTAGCATGGCCTGGGGCTCTTACGAATGCCGGAGAGCTTACTGAGACTGCAGGCCAGGGGACTTCTGCATCCTTACGGAAGTTGGATTCTGTGCCCACAGATTCTTCTAGGTGTGCTAGCTCAATCAGAACTGGATTTTCCGTTTAAGTCACAACTCTGCCCAGTGCTAGTTGACAATGGCCTTTATCCCTGCTCTTCCCGTCCACTATAACACCTCTGCAAAACACTACAATGTCAATCAAATATTTTTGTGGCTCACATTCTTATGAGACAACCTTCCAGGGAGGCCACTTTAGAACTTCGCTAACCCATTCTATTCTGAATTTTCTGCTATCTTTGAAGCATCATTTTTGCCACTGGTTATTTTTCTGATATTACATTAAAAAACTTTATCCAGATCGTAAACACAATGACTTTCCTGTCTAATTTTTATTAGTTATAAAACTATGTGTATTTAGCAAAAGAAAAAGGAAATGGCAAAATGCAGCTTGGAGTGTGTAAAACTTATTTTATATGCCACGAAACTTTAAAGTGTGCAGTGTTACACACATTCCCATATTACAGGGACTTGTAAAGGCCCAGTAAAAAATATGGCACCAGGTATGAGTGCTTTATTGTCTATAAAATAGGATGAGGTCAGGAGACTGGCTTTGTAAATGTGGAGTTTTACCCAGGGTATCTAAATGTTATTTCAGAACCCCCCACCTTAAAAGGTTGATCAATGGGAGCCTCAGTTAAACTAGGCAGAATGTGACTAATGGAATAAATTTATAGTTACCAGAGTGTCTGAATGCAAAGGGAAGTCAAAGATCAAAACTCAACTCACGTATTTCAAAACAAGACTGTTACAAACCAGCAGCAAACAGGACACCAAGAGGCAAAGGGGCAATGGGGATGGGCATATTGACAGGCAAGCGTCCTCAATAATGTTCCGGGTATTTACCAACTATACAAAGGAAATCCTCTGTGGCTTTCAGTGAGAAACGGAGAGCACTCGCCATCTACAAATTTAGAAACCGACATCAGAAACAGGAATCTGCCCCTAGAAAGTCTGAGGGGTGTGGATCCCTTTGCTGAATTGAGTAATCTTCACCAAGTAGAGTGGTTACTTGCAGGTCATAACCCTCATAAACAACCCCCCACCCACCTTGACTTTGTGGATGCATGAACCAATGCCCATAGGTGACATTACAGACCTCCTCCTATCCTCTACCACAGCCATTTCTTTACTTCCTTCTCACATCTTTGAGAACCCTCTGGTCCCTCGTGTCCCCTAGAAGCCAAAGTTCTCATTTTCCACCGAGGTCTCGAAAATTCCCTTTTGGCCCAGTTCTTCAATAGAGTCCCCAAAGTGTCTTTTGCTATTGTCTCATCGTTTACCTCAGCTAGGTGGGGGCAGGGGGTCTTGCAAATTCAAACCTGGGTATTAATTCATACTTAGATGTGAATAGGGGTTTTGTCTCCTCTCCTAGTCTTCTGGTGGTGTTTTCTGCCTAAGTAAACCACCCCTAGCTCACGAAATACCAACAGAAATGCTGAAGTTAAAAACCCTTCCTCTTCCTTGTACTCAAAGCTCCCAACTTGGAAAGTATTCATATGGGAACAAAGGAACAATGAGCTCCGGTGGCTGTCTGTCGTGTAGCACCCTCACAGATCCCCTGCCGACTTCCTCTCTCTCCACAGCAGCTTTCGGACAGCCCTAGATATACACATGCATATGTGTAATGAGCACATCTGCAGGAGAACAACGTGAGACTTCAATATGCACGCTCTAATTTTCTGCCTGCTGCTGTGATAAACACCGTGGTCAAAAGCAACTTGAGTAGAAATGGTCGTTACAGTCCATCATGAGGGAAAGGCAGGGCAGGAACCTGGAGACAAAGACCATGGGGGAACCCTGCTTCCTGGCTTGTACCCCAGGCGTCCCTCAGCTTTTTCTTTGGGTTTATACACCCGGAACCTCCTGCCAGGGGTGGCACCACTCACAGTGGACTGGACCCTCACATATAAATCCTTAATCAAGAAAATGGCCCCATAGACTTTTCTACAAATCTGTCTGATGGAGGCATTTTCTCAGCTGAGGCGTCCTCTTCCAGATGACTCTAATCTGTGTCAAGTTAACAAAAAACACTGCGCAAACATCATACAGGGATCAGATCCTGGCAGCCAGCATAACCATGGCTTCAAAACATTTATCCTGTCTTGGTCATAAAACATTAAAATCCTTTCTTCAACAATTACAATTTAAAAATAAGGGGAAAATCGTCTCTTCTAGATCTTTTGAAATATAAACTATGTTACTGTTGATGGCAACTCTTCTGTGTGACAAAACCTACCTATCCTAACTGTAACTTTGTACCAGTGACCAATTTCTTTTGTAGTCCTCCCTTCCCCACCTCAGTCTCTGTTAACCATTATTTCTATAAGGTCAACTTTTTATACAATGTATACAAATGAGAAATCATGCAACACTTGTATTTGGGCTCCTGACTTACTTCACACCATGGGTGCCCTTAAGGGTCATCTGTATTGGCACAAATCACAGAACTTGTTTATTGTTGAATAGTATTTGTGTGTGTGTGTGTGTGTGTGTGTGAGAGAGAGAGAGAGAGAGAGAGAGAGAGAGAGAGAGAGAGAGAGAGAGAGGGAGGGAGGGAGGAAGAAAGAGGAAGGGAGGGAGGGAGAGAGAGAGAGAATTTTCTCTATCTGTTTATCCACTGATGAACACTTGGGTTGATTACAACTCTTCAATAGCAGAGATCCCTCAGAACACTAGAAATACAATTGCCACCTCACGCAGTAACCGGTGTGCGCTGGAAGTAGAGGTCAGCCTGAGCTCCACTCTGCTCCGTGTGTGCTCACCAGGAAAAGCTGGCAACATCCGCTACAGCGGAGGAGAGCTGTTCTTTCTGAAGTCTTCTTCCACGTAAGACCTCTGTCAGGTTCCCAGTAGCCCTAGGAGAGGCTCTGTTATCCTGCTACTCAAACCTGAGCATTAGGCCCCACACCAGAAAGAAGAGATCTGGGTCTTCTATAGATTAGGGATCCCCATGAGGGCCCTAGAGTCAGTTTTCAGGATTGGTTGTGTAAACTTTCTAATAACTATAGTTACATAGTGCTCACCAGGGAAAGTTACTAAGCAGTAATAGAATAATTTTAATATTTCTTTGGTTATTATGTTCAATATTCATCATCATGGCTCATTTTGCATTTATCTACTCAAACATTATGTTCATTTATTGGGTAATACTCTAAAGATACATTGGTTCTCAAACAAATAGGGCCTGTCAATCAGGCCTTGGAACATAAGAGGAAAATGGAGCATACGAAGATGTCCACATCCTTCTTAGAATACCTAACTTGGATCAGTGTCCACGAGGTTAACCTATGACAAGGGAGACATACACAGCACACACTCCATCTGTTATCCATTGCATCTGCCCAGCCTGCAGGAATGGGAGGAGTGAAAATGAGGCTACTAAATGCTAAGTAGTAAATGGCTTTAAGGATTCTGTTTAGCTTGATGTGTGTCGCTTTCATATATCCTAATTTTGTCCTGTTTTATTGTTCTTGAAATGTCTTATTAAAAATAGAAACAAACTACAAAGTTAGAGTAGGGAAATTAGTCACATTTCCTGACACTATTTCCTATTAAGCACGTGGCTATTAGCCACACCTTTGTTCGCACAATACCATAATGCGGGAAAAACACATTCTTCTCTCTCTCTCTCCCACCTCAAACTTGATGTCTTCTGACTCATTGCCTCTCACGGAAGAACCAAAGTAAACTATGAGCCTCCACTGAGAATGCCAACTCTTCTGGGTCTTGCCAGGACTTTGGACATATTGACATTTTAAATAGGTAAAACTGGTGATGCCAAGTTCAACCCATTTAAGACAATACCAGAAATCAAAGGTGAAATTTACGGATCAGCAGTAAGGTTTGGCAAGTGAAACCTGCTAACCTGAGTTCTAATCCCAGGTCCTACATGGTAGGAGGCGAGAGCTGACTCCTAGAAGGCGTTCTCTGACCTCCACACATGTACTATGACGTGCACACACCCCAGATGCACACACCCACACACAACAAAAAAACGCATAGAATTAAAATTGTTAAGTGAAATTTAAAATATGCCCATGCAGAGCCTGCATTTGTAGACAATCAGCCCATGAATCACTGGGAGCAGACAGAGCACGTTGCTGAAAGCGTTTGTATTTCTCATACAATGTAATTCAAACCCCAAAGAAAGAGAGAAGAAAACCACATCTTTACTTTGTTTATTTAATAAGTACTTTTAAATGATCACTATGGCTTTCCACAGATGACTTAATAATGTAATAGCATGGTAGTCATGAAGTGCCCCCAAAAGAAAGTCCTCCAAGGGGAAAGTCCACAAAGGAAAAAGTAACCTCAGCAGTTAGCTACGTGCTAGCGTACAGAGATGCATATACACAGAAGAGTATCTGAATATTGACTTTTCTATAAATATATAGTTGAACATAAAACCACTTGTAATTAAAGTACCAAAATAACAACTGATTCCAAGGTTTAAGTCACATTGCATTGTAATGATATTATAGCGACTCACCAAAATTAATTTAATGTTCAACCACTGGGTTCTGTCTCAAATGCCCTCTCTGTTCAAGCCACTGTCACACTGTTCATCTTATACAATATGTTCACTAACCATTGACTCTAGAAAGGCAAACTGCAAACTCCTTCACTCTGGAGTGATCATCAAGGAAGTGAAGGATGCGTCAATGGCTCACCTTGCATCCCTAGCACTTGGCTTAGGGCGAGGATGCTGTAGGCTCTCAGCAGACCTGGCTTAGACTGAACTAAAACCACCACAAAGATGAACAGCTATTTAGCCCCTGACTCTGTGGATGACAGCTCTCTGAAACAAGTTGATCATGGATGAATATTAAGCATTTGTGGGCACATTCCTAGGATGGGCAATTAAGTATCTTGAAATATCTTTAAGAAGGAAAATTGATGAACTTTTGAAATAGTATATCTTTTAATAACCATGTGTACTATGAGATATTTCTAAGATGACATATAAATTAATTGTTTGGGGTTTACTATCTCTGGTATGATTAAAACAAGCACAATAAATTAGAAACTTAATAATAAATGTATTATTACTTAGGGTCAAACTAAATAATAATACATTTTCAATACTCATTTTCAAACATTGGCCTCATGTCAATTTAGGTATGTGATACATAAGTATCTTTTAACAATAACTTCTGATAAAGCAAGACTCACAGATTTACAAAATACAGTGCATTGCCATTAGATTACAAGAAAGAACAGGAAAAAAAGTTACACATTCCAAAAGGAA